TGTTCAACCAAGCTTTAGTTTGAAGTTTGAACTCCTTTTCTCACTTTTCAACCATCTGCAGCAAAAGGGATTTCTCAGATTTTCGAGCTGCTGCTGCTATACATATAGCTTTTTCAACGTTCATCAAATATTTTCCAACCCCTGGCCTGTTTACAGATAAATTAACGTTACAAATTAACTCAGATTTTGAATTAGCTCACTCCATAAAGCAGAACGGTGTAAACAGCTATGAGTAAACATTACACTAATGTTTTTCATGAAACAAAAATCTCCTTTGCAGCAGCACCTTATCCCAAAAAAACAAAAGGCAAGAAACTTTATTAAGTTTTTGACCGATGAGAGAGACAAAAAGGGGACCTAATATAGAGGAAGATAATGCAATTACTGAAAGAGAATATTGAATGAAAGCCCACCAAAACCAGTCATTTCATATCAAACGTGCATTGTTTTGTATGTGTTTTTAATTTTCTTCGCCTTTCAGCCCTTTTGAGGTTTTCCTTCCCTTTTTCAAGTGCTATTTGCCTCTCCTTTTTGTGTGTAATAGACCCCCTAGCGTAGCCACCACAATTCTCCATCACTGTTTTCTTCTTATTTTTTATTCTTTCTTTCTGTGTGTTGAGTTGCAGCTGGCTAGCTACCATGAATACCGCTGATGATTTTATTATTATTATTATTATTATTATTATTATTGATTATTGAATTAATTAAGTTATCAACTAATCCATGATTCATCATTTTGTACCACTTTTTTTGCATGGTTATATTTTCATGCCATATATGACAAATTCTATGCTTTATGAACCTTGAATTCTAGTGAGATCCACACATCACCCATTAAATAGTAAGATTATTCTAACATCAATTATAAGAGTACGATATAAATGAACAGTGATATGTCTGTTTCAATTAAGTCGATGTTTTCTACTTTACATAAGCGTCTATCACCTATAACATATCTCGTTTATTACCTAGAATACACTTTCTGATTCAGTGAAAAACGGAGAGCAAAATTGGTTCAGATATTAGGGTTTTTGAAGAGGGGATGCCAGTAAGTCTTTTAACGGTGAAAGATTGAATTTTGGTGATGGAGATTGGTTAGAACTTGACTTGGGAGGGGTGGGTATACATTCCACAAATTACCACAAACTCTCTCATTCACTATCGGATTAGTATGTTACAAGAGTAAACAACTTTTTTCCACCCAAGGTTTTCCTTAATGACACTTTTCCGCCTAAAAAGTTTCAAAATACTAATTTACTATCCAAAGTTTATATTCTATTTATTACCCAGAATACACTTTCCGATTCAGTGGTGAACAGAGAGTAAAATTGGTCCAGACTGTTAAGGCTTTTGAAGATGGGATGTCAATGTGTCTTTTGGTGGTAAAATGTTAGATTTTGGTGGTCGAGATTGGTCAAAACCTAACTTCAGAGGGGTGGTTGCGCGTGCCACAAATTGCTTGATTTCTAGCAATTGGCAGGGTCGGTGCGTTCCATAGAACCTGAGAGTTTCAATCAGTGATGATCAAAGAAGAGAATAGTGATGGTGTAGGGTCATAACGATATTGGAATCGGCCAACGATTGGTCAGAATATAAACTTTACTTTTTGGGTGGAAAAGTGTCACTAAGTCAAATCTTGGGTGGGGAAAAAGTCGTTTACTCTATGTTACAAAAGACTCCGTTATCCCAAAATTTCAGTACGTTATTAAATTGCAAGCATACATGGAAAGCAAGCTAAAAAGTAGAACACAAATTGAAATGCTTCCGCATGGATCAGGACAAGGTCTTTCATGCATGGTGATGGAACTCAATATTTGAGTTCGGTAAATAACGGTTCATGTGCAGAGATTAACCAGTAAAGTAAATTAATAAACTAATTGATGTATTGGAGGAAACAAAGATGGGCCCAATTACAGTTGTTATTTTCCTTATTTTATGAAGTTGATATTGACAAGCATAAGCACCAAATGACGGTCCACTACTTTCCGTAGTTTGACGGTTCTTTAGATTATGGATGTATTATTCAAGATGTTTTAGATTGAATTTCCAGATTATTAGAAAGCGTACACGTGGAGCTTACCTAACGCTTAACTTCAAGATTCTGGAGTATTAGTTCAGATGCGTGCAGCTGGTCCAGATACCTAAAAAAAAAAAAATTGTGGAGTGAACGTTTCAAGTAGAACAAGTAGCATGGATTCCTATGCTTATATATTTTGTCAATTGTCATTTGCCATTTGCCATAGCACCTCCTTGTCTCTTGTCCTTTTCTTTTGAAATCCCCTTTTTCCACTTTTAAGCTACTCATCTTCTATCAAAACCCACCACCAACTGAGATTTACTTCTTTTAATGCAATGCAAAAGCCACCATTTTTACAAAGCTTCAAAGGTGATTGCTTTCTAAGACAAACCTTCTGGTCAAACAAATTGACACCCTTTTAAGCACTACGACACATCCTATACTTATACAACATGTTCTTATGTGTGAAATTTCAATATGGTATCAGAGGGACAGTTTTTTGATTTGTGTTTGGTCTTATATACATATTAATATGGGTTGGTTTTTCTTAGTTTGGTTAGATTTAACAAAGAGTGAATTGATCTTTGAACCACTAGCTTGGTTCTACTTTTCAAAAAACTATTCAGTGTGAGTAGTCTCACTCTGATCAGCATATTGTGTATGTATCATAGGCAGAGATTATTCTTTAACAATTATGATTTTGGATGTTCTTTGGTGTTGTGTTTTTATCTTGGTCAAGACTTTGTCAATATCTGATGGTGGTATTTGCTGCATTTAATGCTGTTCCAGTCATATTTCACTGTGGGGTCTAAACCTTACTTGGGTGCTATTATGCAGAAATATATTGGCGGGGTGGCTCTGGTTAAAGCCATTGAACTTCATGGAAACAATAAAATTTCAAGACACAACGGTCTAACAGGTATTGCACAAAGTAGTCCCATTAGCTGTAGATAGTATGCCTCTTTGGTTTCTCTTGTTTAATATGATTCAACTCATCACTTTTCTGAAACTTTTTCTGAATGAAGCTCTGAAAAAGCTATTGTGCTTAGTTGCTGGTGATGATATATTTTTTTTTTTACTCCCACTGCTCGCTCCTCTTCTCCTTTCTCTCTCCATGCTATCCTAATGAACCAGTACTGAAGCAGCTGACTCCTTCTGGCAGTGGCTGCATCGTGTTGTTTTGTAAACGAACTCAGATCTAAGAGTTAAGTTTCTAAAGTTCTTTTGCTTGTTTTCATCATACTGCCTGATTTTGCTTTGCTTCATTGACAGTGATCCACTTAAAAAGAAAATATGGGGATGACAAGTGAATACACCCTTGAGCACTTACCACCTTAAGCTGGTAGGAATTTCAGTTTTCTTCTTCCGTTGGGCTAGTTCTTGAACATATGGAGCATCTCTTATGCTATTTATTTCTCAGAAATTGCATTAAGAATTAAACATCTGATTCGAGAGTAGAGAATCTCATTTTTCTTTTGTCTTCTGTCACAGAAGGAAATGGACTAGCATAAGCCTCTGTGAAGCCAAAAAGAGGCAACCACCTAATGCCGAAGTCCAAAATTCTTAAAGCAAGAGGTATATATATTCAGATACATCCTTTGTTGATTTGTCGCTTGTCATTAAGCAAATAACTACCAACCACATGAATTCGGCAAAATGGTGTTTATTTCTATCTCTGTTAAAATGGGAGCTCTTTAAGAGGCTTGGCTGTTTCTGATCAACTTCAAACGTGTTGCATATGAAAAATATATAAATTCATGCAAAGGAAGACAGATTTAGAAAGTTAGCATTGCTTCGCACTTCCATTTCTTTATTCTCTGAAATATCTAGCTGCCTTTCGCAGATTGTACAGCGTCAAGAAAGTTAAAGTCAGGAGTTTGTGGTACGACATGCTTGCAGAAGGCTTAGCGTTTTAGCCATTTTCCCAGTAACTGTGACAGACAAATCAATCCCCAAGGTAACTCCTTTGATTGGATTGTAATTAGCTCCTTTCTCACTGGGAAAATTGAACCAAAGCATTTAATCATGTCAAAACTGGGGAGGGGTATGCACATTATCACCCAAAGATTTTTCCTTTCATTTTCCTATTTGGTCAAATCCCGTTTTCCTTTGTTTCAGGATGCCACAGGACTGAATCCGGTATAGCAGTTTTTGGCAATTTGTTGGTATTTCGACATTATCTCTTTCTCATACCGGAAAAAGTTTTTTGATCAAAGGTATCCTCTTACACGGGGACCATGGATGAAAGATAAACATCGGTACACACACACGATGAGGGATGTTTTCAGATTTTGTCGAAGTGATATACTTCAGAAAAAGCATTATGTGTTTCAAACGAGTATCTACAACCTATGAAAATTCATTTGCAATCCTCCAAAGAAGGCAATGACATTTGTGGAGCCGAACTTTTAGATCTGGCATTACTCGTAGCCACTCATCACTGTCTCAAACGTTCAGCTTGTTCATTAGAACTACCCCTCCATTAAAATCTTTAGCTACAGCTGTAACTCGTACCATTCCTACCTTTGTCAATGTTGGAGGTAACTTGATAACTCCCATGACAACAATTACCTGATGTTTGTTATTTATATTTGATAGTTCGGTGTAAGAGCAATCTCTAATTGTGATCCTTTTTTTTTTTTTTTTTTAATCTTCAGCAAGGCTCAGGCTTGCGCCCCATGGAATCAGCTTGGCGACATTTTGGGCACAAGTTGTTTCTGATATGTTTCAATACACCAAACGTGGATATCTGAGGAGATGAAAGTGCATTTCAGATATATATTGTGAACTTGCGACGCCACTTTGTGAATCATGGTGCTTTCGTCTCCCTATTTCATACCATCTCACTGATATGTTTTTTCTTCACGAGGCATGGGCAATATTTTGGATCCACATGTGGGAGGTGTTTTGTTTTCTTCCTTCAATTCACACTTGATAACCCTTTAGCATTAGGAATCCAAGAATTCATTGACCGTACTCCACAATGGCAAAGTGAAATGAGTTTTAGAGATGATAAAATTTTAAAAGAATTTTCAGATACATAAGCTGCGTATTATAGTCGTCTTCTAATTCATAAATCCTCATCCCAATGCCTATTTTTTTTATACATTAAGGTTATTGTAACAGCTATTCAATTGCAGGTCACTTGTTTATCGTTTGGAAAAAGTTGATCCAAGAAGGATGAAACATGAGGAGAAGCTAGCTTTCTGGATCAATGTGCACAATGCTCTGGTGATGCATGTAATTTCTCTAATTCTAAAGCTATGAATATAATTTTCTCATTGTGAGGCAATTAACTAGTGCAACTCATTTGCTAATCCTTTGTCTTGCAGGCATTTTTGGTTTATGGAATTCCCAAAAATAATCTGAAAAAAGTATCTTTACTACTCAAGGTGAGCTTTTCTCTGGTTACTTTAGACAAGAAACTGGCTTGTGATTTTCTATTCACAAAATCTATGGCTGATGCAGGCTGCATATAAAGTGGGAGGCCAAACCATAAATGTAGACATGATTCAAAGTTCTATTCTGGGATGCCGAATCCCACGTCCAGGACAAGTAATTCCCTCAAAAGATTTATCAAATACTGCTTGTTTGTGAGACATCATCATCTGACTCCTTTGGTTAATTCTGCTTGCAGTGGCTGCGTTTTCTATTTTCTTCCAAGGCAAAATTTAAGGTTGGAGATGCACGAAAAGCTTATGCAATTGAGCACCCTGAACCTCGTTTGCATTTTGCACTTTGTTCAGGAAGTTATTCTGATCCTGTGGTATATATGCTCCCACCCTTCATTTATATATTTCAAATGTCTCCCTTGTTAAATCCACAACATTTTTTGACATGTTAAATGGTTCTCCAGGTCCATGTATACACACCCAAGAGAGTTTTCCAGGACCTGGAAACAGCAAAAGAAGAGTACATTCAATCAAACTTCAGCATAAACAAGGAGCAGAAAGTTCTTTTGCCAAAGATGGTAGAATCTTTTGCAAAGGATTCAGATATGTGCTCAGCTGGTTTGCTTGAGATGATTAAGCATTCCATGCCAGATTCTTTCAGGAAGAACATTCAACTATCTCAACACAAGAAAACTGGAAAGATCATTGAGTGGATACCCCACAACTTCACATTCCGTTTTCTGCTATCAAAAGAACTGGCATAGCAAAACACCTCCGCAGCCAGCGGCCGAGAACCTCCTCTACTACAAGAATTATCTTTACATTTCACTAGTTTGCTAGCTTGGTAGATTAGAATGACAGAAGAATCACAACTAAACTTCTTGTTACATCAGGCTTTAGCTGAGGGCTGAGCTTGTTTGATTCAGGAGTTTTTTTCCATAATAGCATGGTTGCGATTCGGCTGTCATTTTCAAATTGCTTGAGTTCTTTATGTACAAATTTGTTAAATGAGATAAGGGGGAGAGATGAATATCAAAATGGCTTATGGCTGTAAGAAGTCTGTACTTTGTACAAGTTTCATGATTTTTTTTTTTTGTTGTGTGAAGCATATCCTTTTCAGCCTTTTTTTTGGTGCAACAACTTGAATTGAAAGTGCTTAAAAGTAGATAGATAAAAGTGTGACAGCCTCAAGCTTCATGTGGTTTGAAAAAAAAAAAAAAAACACATAAACCGGCTTCTACCTACCTAAAATGGTGTAAAAATAAGTAAAACATATCACATTAGAGTAATGGTACGCTTACAACCTATTCTCACAAACTTTTCTTACAACCTCGACGTGACAATTGAGTTAGCACTATCACGTCAGCTCCATCCACACCCAAGTGTCACGGGCTGGGAGTTTCACACCCAAAAGACTAACCTATTGAGTGAAAGGACTCCCCCTATTTATAAGCCCAGGACCTTCCTGGTACGTTTTTTATGTGGGATTCGTTACATTCTCTCACACCCAATCCTGTGACGCCCTCATCACAGGTGGGACCCCTGCCTACCCGTCCACCTCACTCTTGTGTGGACCCACAATCACACGTGGATGCCCCTGCATGGGCGCTTGGCGGGACATCGAAAGAGAGATCAGGTTTGCTCTAATACCACTTGTCACGGGTTGGGAGTTTCACACCCAAAAGGCTAACCTATTAGGTGGAGGGACTCCCCCCATTTATAAGCCCAAGACCTCCCCAATAAGCTTTCGATATGGGATTCATTACACAAGGCACAAAATGATTTTGACTAGACTTAAGAAACAATCATTCCTTCATAGAGAATGATTGTTAACTTATTCTCACAAACTTCTCTCACAACCCTGACGTGGCAGCTAAGTTGGCATTGTCACGTTGGCTCCATCCATACTCAAAACACAAAATGATTTTAATTAGACTTAATAAACGACCATTCTTTTATAGGAAACGACTATTCCTTATTGAAGAAATGATCATTCCTTCCTTACGGAATGGTATTGCCATTCCAGGGAATGGTCATTCCTTAACGAAACTATAGTCATTCCTTCGTAAGGAATGACTATACCTCCTTAAAGAATGATCATATCTTATAAAAATTCTTTAATGTATGGTCATTCCTTCGATACCTTATTAAAAGAATGATTGTTCCTTCATTAAGGAACAAATATTCGTTATGAAAAAATGTTGTTCCTTCAGAAGGAATGAGATAGTGCACATTTGTTATCACAGTAAGATTATAAGAGAAAGTTACGAGATTGGCTTATAAACGTAATATTTTTCACCATATTAGCAGAGTTTGGATCAGTATATAAGCTTTAGACCTCCTAATGGTACAGTAAGTGAAACCAAAATGAAAAGTATGTAATCGAGTGGACCAAGATTATTAATGCATTATCTCTTTTTAGAGATTCAGCAGATGCAATGTCAAAAAGCAGTCCCTACAAAGAAGCCAAAGTCCGAAACTTCATCCCTTTATGCCCAAAGACCGAAACAGAGTCCCCACTGGCCACTAGAAACCAAGTCCAGAAATTTCTTCATTTTATACCCAAAACAGAAAATAAAAATAACAAGACCAGAAAGCCCCTGGTCACATGCATACAGCTAGAGTCATTGCCCATTGGATAGTCATAGATTATCTTGGGATCCACAGAATCTTAAATTTACTTAAAGAAAAAATTAATTAAGTGAAACCAAAATGAAAATATCTGGTGGGAAGCATGAGAGTCACTTAAAACACTCACCAGAATTATACACCTGCCAGTTTTTGGCTCTTCTCAGAGTCTGTTCACTTCCAAAACCCTCGCCGACTAACCCAAGAACACATTTTTATTATATTTTCGGCGTCAAAAGCCTTAACCCACCGAGCACAAACATCAAGAAACACAATGGATGAAGAGGGTATAGGCTTAGTTTTAGCCAGGGCGGCGGAGCTTAGGTTGAAGATCAGTAATTGCATTCACAAAGCAACAACAGGGAAACAACAAGAAGGTGATGTTGCTGTTGTTGTTAATGGAGTTGAGAAAAACCCTGATGAGAAAGTGGCTGAAGAAGAAGAAGAGGATTATGATGAAGAAGCAGAGAAGCTCTTGAATATTCAACTTGCGCTTGAATCTTTGGAGGCCCAGCTTAGTAATTTGCAGGTTTGTCAAGAAACTCCAAGTCAGGGTTTTATGTCGAAAGCCTTATACAGTTATAATCATGTTCTATTTTGTTTAAATAATTGATTTTGAAGCATATACTGATGAATGAATTTGGAATTTTTTATAACCATGCGAGTCTTGTAACAGTGTGCTTAAATAATTGGAAATTTGTGGTAAACACTGAAATTGGCTTTGCTTCAAAATTTGTTCTTGTGCTTGCGTTTCTTTTGGGCTTGGGAGATTTCACCATGGTTTCATTCGGATTACATTGCAATAATAATCGTATAATGTGTTATCAATGTTACTTTATATGGTTCCTTGAGACTTGTATCTTAAATTTTACTAGATGTGACTTGTCTAGATTGAAGGATTTTGTGGATTGTTACCAGAGTTAACTTGTTTCAATTCAAGGTTATGAAAGTGTTCCTGGCCAGTTCTTATTCCTTCAGTTGATCATTTGTCATGCCGGCAGTGTCTTCTTTTATCATTTATAAAAGCAATGCCGTTTATTACACTGCACCGTCTAACATGGATTTTGATTAGCATGTTATATATGCATTTGAATTCTGTTGCTTGTATCATATAGAAAATTGCAAGTGGATGTATTTTTTAGAAGAGAATGCTTTTATTCATTGGTTTTTGTAAGATTAAGAAGGAAGCAAATGATGGAAGTTCTCATTATAGATTTAATGTCACATCTACTCCTTTATGATTTTGTGCTCTGCTTGCTCTTGCTCTGGGTGATATTTCAGTATGTACGAGGTGGGGCTCAACCACATATGTCACGTGGGTATATGTGTGTAGGAACTATAAAGAAGAGAATGATAAAGTGGAGCTATATGTTGGTACCTATACATGTTTCAGTGCGTTTAGAATACCATGTACCAGTCATTGTTTTGTGGGCTTCATCCTATAGAGTATACAAGATGCCATCTTAATAATATAGTAAACTGCATTTACACATGGTTTCCCTGCTATGTTAAAAGGATTTTGAGATAAACTTGGGCTGATATTTGAGATAAACTTGGACTCTGATAATTTACCTTAGCAACTATAATTTATCTCAATGGAATTCTTATATTGATATTAACTGGAATAATCATGTTACTGTTGTGACTGTTAATGTATGTTGACATTACCTAATACTTTGGATTAATTGATACTACCAGCCAGGAAAGAGGACAAATTTCCTAAGAATGACCCCAGGACAAACTAACCTGTGGCCCAGGTATATGCATCCAGATCAGTCACTAAGGAAAGATGCCTAAATAAGTGCTAATGATGAATTGATTCTTCTTACCGTGTTTGATGACTAAAATTTTGGAAAGCACTGATTTTTATGTTTCCGTTTGCTCAACTAGTGCACTGATTCTGCAGAAATTATCCATTACCTTATGTATTAGCCTGTTTCCCTACTTTCTAACGGCCAGCACATTTGCATTAATAGAACTTACAACCTTTTGAGTAGAATTTTCCTGCTGATGGCCCTTTCCTTTTGTTGGTAGGATCTTAATTTTCGGTCAACCAATGTATTTATGTTTTCCATTTTTGTTCCCTTGCTTATCTGAAGCTGTAAAAGCTGCTATCTAGTCCTCGTGTGAAATGTTATATCTAATATTATATACATATGTAGAGATTATATAATTTGTATAATTTCATACGCAATAGAAAAGTTTGAAAAACTTGTGGATTGATGATTAAAATTTCTCTTTTGATGCATAGAATCTACAACTCCAGCAGCGTTATGATAGGGAAGTTGCACTTGGTGAAATCGAGTTTAGCCGCAAGATGTTGCTAGAGAAGCTCAAGGAGTACAAAGGGGAGGACTTGGAAGTTATACATGAAGCATCTGCTTTTGCTGGTGAAACTGTAGAGCACAACAATGATCTCCTCCTTCCTCCATATCCTAGTCGTGTTCCTCGATCATTGATCTTAGACAATGGTTATCTCTCACAATCTAATTACAAACCCAAGTCTGTGCTGAATGGAGTGATCACGGATGAGCTAACTAGTGGAGCGAAGAAGAATCTAAATGAATATGAGAGAAACCAAATGCAAAATAGATCCACAACTTCAAGGAAAGGGTTGGGACACTTTATTAGTTCGGTGGCCAAGACGGTGATTCCCCTGGCTGGTTTGGTATATGCATTAAGCATGTCCGGTTTTGCTCAAAATCTTGGGAAGAAAGGTATCCCTTTGAAGCTTTCGGGCATCTTTCAACGGCCATCAAATGAAGAGAAGAAATCAGTTGTTCAATGTCCACCTGGGAAAGTCTTTGTGGTTGAGAATGGCGAAGCTGGATGCATTGTGAAGGAGAGGGTTGAAATCCCATTTGATTCAGTTGCTGCAAAGCCAGATATAAACTATGGGAGTGGTTAAATTGTTGTTCATTCTCTAACATGTGTATATCTCATTTCTGAATTTGGTGAATGAAGTTTTTTCTCTTAACGGCCTACTATGTTCTTGAGCTTCATGGTTCTATATCTTTGATTCTGTTTCCTGTAGGTCTCATTAACTTTGAGTTTTACTGATTTGAGAAAGGATAATATTACACTTACAATCCAATTTCACAAACTTTGTCTCACAACTTTAACGTGATAGTTCATAATTTGTCAGTTCGCAATATGTCTCGTCTGTCCAATTGTGGGTCTTGGTGTTTAACACTTTAACTTTAAGTGTAAGTTGTTACGTTGGAGTTGTGAGAGAAGATTTGTAAAATTGAGTATCTTTATTGTTTGAGAAAAGGTTACTGTCTTTCAAGATCAATGATTGTAAAGTTTTA